TTCCCTACTCATCGATTTCTCTATTTTTCATTATTATTTATTTTCTTATTCTTTCTATATATATATATATATATATACCATTTTTTTTTATCTCTAATTTACACATTATTTTTACACGTCGCTTTTTACAATTTTTGTATCGAAAAGCAGTATTGAATATATTATCTAAGGTATTAATAAAATACAAAATGTATTATAAAATCGATATCTTATTAAACTATTTTATAAGTAAATAAAATATTTCATATTTTTTCCTAAGTAATTATTAATAGTAACAATAAGTAAACAATAGTCACGCACACGTACAGTATTTTCTGTTTGTGCTCTGTATGGAGTTATTTTTTTTTTTTGAACGTTCAAACAATTATTTTATTCGACGGATTTGAATAAATAATTAGTCCATGTTGTTTTCGCACCTTATGATACGTTTACCTTATTCATGTAGTAAAATATTCCTTACTTAAAAATTCTTCATGTAATAGTAGTTGAATCTTGGTGCAATATTCGTATTCGCTTCTTGAAACTCTTTTCTCTCTTTCCACATACTCGCGAATATTTCTTGAAACTGTCGTTTTTCTCTTCTCTTCTCTCTCTCTCTCTCTCTCTCTCTCTCTCTCTCTCTCTAAATAGATCCTACACACCACCAACATACAGACTTTCTAGCATCCCCAAAAAATTTCACGGAATTCAATATCTCCCACCGATATTCTACATAATTCATGAAAATTGAGCCGCCGGCTTTTTAGACTCTTGGCTTCACTATATTCCTCCGATCTGCCAGCAGCTCCATCTCACTTCACGCCGTCTCCTTTTTCCTCTTCCTCCTAACCTTCCTCTTCCTACGACCAAATTCGAACTATTCTTATAATTCTTCTCTGGCTTTGCACACTTTCACTCCCTTCTAAAAAAATTCTACCTTATTCGACGTCAGTGTAGCGAGAGACGTACCGCAAGGCGTTGGTTTGCCTACCTCTTGAGGTAGCAAAGATATTCAAAATCGAGATTGTGTGTACGACCGCGTGAACACACGAGCTCATGCTACCGTGCGAGCTGGCATTCTAGAAAGAAAGCGGAATATTCGCGCGAACGAGGTAGCTTAAACGAATCCTATTGTCTTCCTTTTTCCTTTGTTTCACTGAAAATGTACCAGCCCTTCAATAATAAATTTGAAAATTGCATTATATGTCTTACACCCGAGGAGCTCGACAATCCATTCGAAAATTTATTCAAAATTTTTTTCTTCTCCATAATGACACTCGCCGCTATATATACGTGTCCGCCCTAATCAGCTCATCGATTAATATCGCGCGAACACACTTGAGCTTGTAGTATTTAGAAAATGCAAGACAAGAGGCTGAAAATATTTTGGCAGCTTTGGCTTTGGTTGCCCGAGTTTCCTTAAGTCGGCCTCGATACGCGCCGTCGACGGCTCTGACTTTAATCTAGAGAAATACTGAATAATGAAGTGAAGAAAGAGCGGGGCCAGGATTGGTTCATGCACTATGCAAACACACTTTCGAACATGTACATATCCGCGTCATGATATACTCCCTTTAATTAAATTCTCGACTTTAAGAGGCATTAAGCACCTTGTCAACCGCTTAACAATTCCAATTGTTAATTCACTCAGACTCCCACTCACTATTCTGTTTTTCCTTTGCTTACAGATTCTTTCTCAAGTTCTTCCTCAAGTGCAATCAGAATTGCCTGAAGAATGCCGGTAACCCGAGGGATATGAGGCGCTTCCAGGTGAGTTTTCGACATTAATTTTTTACATTCCCAATGAATTGACAATGTAACGTTGCTTCAACTGTTAGTAACGCGTTTGCGCAAACATTATTACGTCTAGGCATATAGAAAATGGTGTGAAATTAATATGTGTCGCGTAACGCATTGCAACAATGATAAAAGATTTATTATAGATGAGTTTTTTCTTTTTCTTTTAACACGTAAACGTCATAGATTAGGATAAGTTTATGAACACTATTGTGCTGACGTAACATTTGTAGTTTATAAATATTGCATTTAATTTCTTTTGATTTCAAATTCACTTTTCATTGCTGGCAAATTTAGGAAGTAAACTATTATTATCGCGGATTTCCTTATCATTAAAACATTAAAACATATAATATCATATATATATATATATATATATATATATATGTATATGTATATACAACATTTTTAATGTTGTAAAAGCAGCGGCAATTAATGTCGACTCAGGTCCAGTCAATTCTGCCCACTAATATTGAATACGGAAAAGTTTTTTTCACAACACCCACTCCTTGTCAATTTGCATGCGTTGTTGTAACAATCGAATTTCATATTGTTTACACAGGCTTGAGTTTTATCGGTAAATGTCGCATAAAATTACACTAATAATCCGCATCAAACGACCAGTGAATAATAGTGCAATAGAAAAGTTAACTCAGCCAATTAAGAAGCAACCAATAAATTCTCTCAATGAGGCTAGATGAGACGGATAAAATTGTTGAACTTTAATACAATGTTCTCGTGGAGGTTGAGGACTAAGGTTATGAGCATCCTCGTGCACCACTTCGAGAGCAGCCGAAGACTTGTAATCCGAGAGCCTGGCAATTAGCTCGGGCACCGGCATCGGCCTTATTCTACTCTCCCTTAGTCCCACCCTACCCCATCCCTCTCGCAATAACGGCCCCTCCCATCATTCCCGGTATCTCTTGGTGGCGCACACCATCGCCCCCAAACAAAAGACAAAATTAAAAAGTAAATTGCCAAAAACCGCCGGCCGGGCTTCCACCCTCACTTGCGCGAATCAGCTACTTTATGCAGCCCTTTTATTTCATCAAAAAGAGAAAGAAAGTCCTTTACTTACTAAACCAAAATTCGTCACTTATCTTTTATTCTATAATAGAGTTTTTCTTCTTCTGTAGTTTGTTTAGCGTAAGGAAACTTTGTTGATTGTGTATTATTCCAAGATAAATCGTAGCTTCGTAATTCAACTTAACATTACAAAGCTACACATTACGTGCTGGTTAACCAAGTAATAAATTTCCTACGGCACTCCCCTACCGATACTTTATAAATTTTCTCACTTATTTTTAACATTCAAAAGCAATATTCGCTATGCTTATTAAACACATACGCATCTATTAATTAATCTTACGTGACAATAATCATATATTAAAATTTAAAACATCCACCATTTTCACATTACGCCAACATAGTTTTTTTTCATTGTTATTTTTACAGTGCAATAAAAAATATATATAATAACCGTCGACTTTTCAATTGGTCCTTAAATAATCTCCTAACCGGCAAAGTTCTCTTTAAACTGACAATATCATGGCTATTATTGTACAATGGTAGAAATATTAAAGCGACACTCGCCTATTATTTATCGCGGCGTGAATTGAATTAATTAATCATTACTCGTGCTACTTAGTGGCATTTCTTCAGGAGAATCGCGAAACGGCAAAAGTTGAGAATTAAAATTCCGACCATCCCATCGTCTTTTCTCGCGCCTACGAGGATGATGGAGCGCGCGAAAAAAAAACAAAAAACAAAAAAAAAATAAAAAATTAAATTGGCACATACTGTCCGACTTTCGCCGTGGATAAATTAATACGCAGGACTGCAATAAACTTTGTACATTCCTATTTTGTTGCTGATTTTTTTATTACCCGAAACGCTTTCTCTACCCCCGCTCCACTTGCCACGTAATCGCTTTCAATCACTTTTTCGTCAATTCTCTTGTAATATATCGTACGGTTCATCAACCTTTCTTCCCATTTTCACCATTTCCAAATCCAGCTCTACGAATTAAAATCAGCAACAAATTCTAATGAAAGAAGGGAGAATTGTCGTTCGACGTGTAAATTCGAACGTTGAAACGACAGAGTAAAGCGACGCCCTCGATGCCGATAAACAGTCGCTCGTATCAAATTAAAAGCGACACTTTAACTTCGTCACACGAGCAATTTCTACTTTCTCATTGCAGGTCATCATATCCACTCAGGTTGGCGTTGATGGCCCACTGCTGGCAGTCTCCGACAATATGTTCGTTCATAACAATAGTAAACATGGTCGCAGAGCGAAACGACTGGATCCCAGCGATCCTGGCGAGTACAACAGTGAGTTCATTCATTTTCTTCTCTCTTATTTTCAGTTGCAAATTTACGTAATGTCGATGTTTCTTTAAATCGCAATGACGATTTATTTACCCCGGCATCGATCATAGCCCATCGATTAACGGACATAGGCCGATCTAGTGAGCACATCACGCGCAATGGTCATTACGAGGCCATTACAATAAATACGAGATACCAAGCGACTGGTGATAAAAATCTGCCTCGCGTATCATTATCGAAGCTGCTCTGGCGGCGAGAGCGCCGACCTTAATGTTGCGTTTCATCTCGAGTCCACGGCGCCGCTACGTCATGAATCACTTGCAACGATAGTCTTTTGTCCGTTACTCATCAAAACAGCGCGCCGTTAAGTGCGGGGCGCTTGAGCGCTCGAGACAAGGAGGGTGCGACGATGCCAAGATAAAGAAATATCACTCTTGCGCCACGAAAGCGCTGAAAGTGTAAAGGAGGAGAAAAAGAAGCCGGGGGACGAAGGGGACCGGGGGAAGGAGTGATTTGGTGGAATCGGTATAACAACCAGAGGCTGGGTGAGAGGTCGAAGTGGGGGGGGGGACGTAAGGAGTCGCAAGGCAATTCAGCAAAGTTTCGTGCCGGCTATCGCATACAAACGACTTATATCCCACTCTCAAGCTCACAGGGAAAGGGAACCAACTCCCTTTCCTCCATTCCCCCTCGCCCCTCATCCAAGTACCCCCTCGCCACAACGCCAATCGCCATTTCACGTCATCTTCGCCTTCGTGTTTTTGGCCTTTTTTCTCTTCCTTCCTTCCTTCCTTCCTTGCTTCCTTCCTTACTTCCACGAGCGTCCTCGGGACATGTAAATCAATGGGAAGAGGAGAACCCCATGAGGTCGAAAGGGTAATACACACCCGTCCTCTCTTCTCTATTTGCTCTCTTCTTTCATTCCCTCACAACCCGGACTTTCTTGAATGTATATC